TCTTGACGATAATCAAGTTTTCCCAAATTTCCTTATCGAATTCAATTTGGACCCAATATTGAACGCCTAATGCACTTAGTCATATAGAATATGGTAACATCATTATAGAGAGATCACTTGACATGGCCGATGCCTTTATATAATACTATGAATAGGCACGAGTATTTTTTGGGTAGTGGTATTTACGGATTCTGAAAATATTATCTGTTGAAAACGATGTAGTTTTTGTCAAACTTGAAAATTATTCAATCTGATTTTCCGAACTGAAAAACATTTCCAAAACTGATTTTAAGGATTGTTCGAAGGTGTAAAAAACTCAAGTTTAAAATCGGCCAATATACTGATTCAGATAATTACTTTGGTTGTGTAACACCTGTTTTTCGGTTCTCTCCATCTGGACTTATGTAACTATCTGCAACGTCAATGTAGGATATGGAGTTAATTCCAAAAATTGCCGAAATTACATGTATGTGGGACAACCTGACGATAAATTTCATTATTGAAATTTTGGGATTACTTCAAGAAAGAAATATTCAATTCAATTTAAATAATAGTATATTTATGACATTAAAAATAAAATAAATACAGCAATAAAAATTAATTGGCGCTCCGGGGCGACTTCATTGATTCCAGTGGCGCATTTGCTTTTTCAGCTGCAGGAAAACCCGGAAAAACCTGCAGCACCACATCATCTGAAGATCTTGATCTAACAATGTCCTCTCTCTCATAAAACAAAATAATTTGAAATAATTAAATTTTTCCTGACTTTGATGATTTTCATTTTTGTCTATCAATAATTTTTTGTAGGCTCAGTACATATCAAATAATAATATTGAAATTTCTTCCACTTCAAGATGTGAATAAATAGTACATGCCGTTGTCAACTAACCTCAAATTCTACGAACGTACTCAAAGTAATAAGTAAAAACCAATTTTATCGCTAATAATTACAGTGAATTATCTTTCAATCAATAAATTGTTAATAAATATCAGTCACCACGATATATTATTCGAAAACATATAAACTCATACAAAACATATGTCGTAGTTTCGAAAACACTTGAATAATGTCTTCACTTTTACTTTTTGAAAAACTAAAATGTTGACTTCAGGGACTTTTTCTCCGATCGTAACAGAGGATGGTTGTGCCGATAACGACTTGTGAACGGCGTGGAGTTCAAAAGTGAGGCGTTTTTTTTTTTTTAAATAAAATCACATGCACATCGTCTTGAGTTCATTCAAGTTGGAGCCCAGCTCCCTTACCCTTTTAGCTGATTTTTGTCGAAGAAGGACATATGGGTTCATGACTGAGGGGATATTGGCGGTATGAAGTCCTCAGACATCAGTAAAGCCCTTCACGGTGTACTGCTACCTGGCTGGGGTGGTAAATAAAATCAAATCCGTATAAATATTGAAGTAAAATACATTTTGAAAGGACTGGTGGCCCTCTACGCCAGTAACCAGGCTGGATGTTGACGGGTTTATTTGTGAAAGTCATATTGAGAGGACTAGTAAAAAAGTAAAGTGTTTTTATAGAAGATAAAGTAAATGAGAAAATTCAGAGTGGCAGCAATTCCTCGAGCAAGACAGCTACTCCCCCGGACGAAACTTCTGTTTACTATGGACAAGAGGATTCTGGCCAAACGCTCGACTGAGAAGCAACGGTTATATGAATTAATGAAGATAAAGCTAACTGACGCGCGCATCATAAAAATTTACTCTCGTAATTTTTCTTCAACGCACCAAAAGAAGTATAACTTCCAAAATCACTTTCGAAAATGATCCTTGCTCACACTCACTTGTCATCTATTCAAATGATACTTGTGCCTATCATTAATATCGTTCCACTAGGATAGCAACTAAAACTTTAATCTTCGATAGTTCAATATATTCATCTCATTCGACACAAATTATGTCCCCAGAGATTCATATGATGAGATTAAATATTTGCGTTGTTCACTTGTTGATAGGAATTGTATGTAACTAGACAGAAATTAAGTTATCATCAAAGATATGTATAAATGAAAAGCAGGTGCTGCAGGTTTTTCCGTTTTTTTTTGCAGCTGAAAAAGCAAATGCGCCCTGGAATATGTATGTTTTTATATGAAAATAAATCAATATTTTTTTTCTCAAAAAAAGCAGAAATACGATTGAATTGGAGGAATCAAAGAAAAATTTTTTTGTGAAAGAAAGTTTTTGGCTTTCTACTACTCCATCTGATACAAAAAAAAGGGATGAGAGAATCTTCCAAAGAAAGGAAGGAGGTAATCAATTTGAAACTCTATACATGAATGTGTAGATCATGCAAAGAAGTAATTTTCAGACACAAACTGAAAGAAAGTCCTCCTGAAACAGCTACTTTCATATAAACATTGAATTTCACAAAAGAAAATAATTCTTTTGAAACAAATGCTTCTATATGAACACTGAATTATACAGAAGATACTTTTCTCTACTCAGTTTGCATTTCAAACATTTGTTGTGGAATAAGAATCAGATAACATTCACATGAGTTCTACTTTGAATGAATGGTAATAAATTGTACTCACATGGAACACTGTCACCCTCACTGGTATACACCGATGTTTCGCCTTAAGACACTTGCCCTAAGGCTCTTCAGTACCAAATTGGATAACATTATAGAAAATACACACACTTCATTCAAAAAAAAGCAGAAATACGATTAAATTGAAGGAATCAAAGAAAAATATAATTACCTCAGTAAACAAACTGATTTCAAACGCTATGAGCTGATTTTGTGTCCTAAGAGACGTAGTGAACATCTTGAAAGAAGAGGTTCAGACTGTAAAAATCGAACTGAAAAGAAAAAAATGGTACATTGGAAAAAATGATTATAACAGTAATAACATTAGAAATATTAAAACTCTTTTATAGCAAAAAAAAGTCAGACACAACTAAGAAAATCTACGAATCATATTGAATGCAAATACTCTACTATAGAAACAGAAAGTTGAGCGAACCTTAACAGAAAATATATGAGAAAAATATATGAGCGTCAGTAATAATGATACGAAAGAATTTGCGGTATGCAGATATATGATTGAAAAACTACATTGAGAAAATGTGACATCACTAATTTCTCATCTTTTTCAATTCGATTAATTCCATGCATTGGGGTTCATGTTATGAAATCCTGATATTGCTCCCAAAATTCTGGAATGATATGTGAAATTAATCTTCGAATGCATGAAAGTTCGTCACAAATCCAGTTATCATCGCACTACGACAGACTGACTTGAAGATGTGAACAGGTCTTCATTCAGTTTGGTGGCTCCGATAGCGTAGTTGGTTAATGCGCATGCCTAGAAAACCGGAGAGGCGGGTTCGAATCCCAGTCAAGTAATATTTTCTCAGGTTAGTTTTTCATTCAGATGTCGGCATACCGCATAGACAGAAAATGTTAGAATGAGAAGACTTTCTATGTCTAAAATAATATAGAAAAATGGTGATGAGATAATAAGAAATTGAAATACTAAAAATACTATCATCCAAGTATTATCATCCAAGTATTTGGATGGCTAGTGAAAAAAACACTCAAAAATGGGACGAAATGAAACACGAGTACTGTAAATGAAAAATGTCATTGTGATCTGAAACAATTTGAATAATAAGGAAAATGCCAATAGTATAGGTACAAACAGTGAAAAATAAAATACAAAAAACCTACAGAAGTGAAAACAGAGAAAATAATAGTAGTAGATTGAAAACCAAGCTACTTCGCAACGTTTCGATTGAAACTATTCGGAACCGTCTTCGTCGTCTGATTACTGTTAACTGACTTTTTTCCTTAACTTCTCATATATTACAAAACTGTTAATACTGTTCCATACAATATATATCCAAACCTCCAATATTCACCAAGAATCATTCAAACCTTGTCTGTTTATGATTCATTCTCTGTAGATACTCCCCCTTGTCATACTGATGATGAGTGGCTATTAACGCTAGGAATATGTCTGTGTATCGTTGAAAAACCCCACTATTGTGATGACCACCAAATGAACATAAAAATNCGGTGCGAAAAAAAATAGTTCCGTATATTCGGAACTGAATTACTCAAAAAAGTCAATTTTCTTACTTATCAAAAATAGTGTGTTGCTGAAAATTCCAGAATATATTCTTCAGAAGTATATATATCGACGTGCTCTAACAGATTTGCGTACCATACGTTCGTTCATTCAGAATATCCATTTTTTAACTTTTTTTTGAAACGTTTGTTATTATGATTGTCTTTGATCACATCGGGTTGATGAATTCGTGGTCCCAAGTAACATGCATTTATTTCTCTGTCCAATCGTTTTCCCACAACGAGGGACGATCACAGAATTATCCCTGTTTCTAGTGTGGTAGGAGTGTTCAGCTAATTCGATAGATCAACAAAAATTGATCCTGATCTCGATATGAATAAAGTTAGCAGACTAAGTGGTTGATATTTTCTTTTCGTGCATATGTTCTGGTGATATGTTGATATATGAATGGACTGACCCGTTGCTTGATGAAAATTGATAACATACATGACAATAATTGAACCAGTTTCTCAAACATTTTTATTTCTAGACAAGTTTCGCTAACCAAGGAAGATACGGTGTTAGCGAAACGCGTCTAAATATAAAAATGTGGGTGGAAATTGTTCAGTTATTATCATAAGTTATTATACTCATATCATTTTGCCGTGGAAAATTGAAAGTCATCGTTATCATTATAGGGAATACACCAACTCGTCACCAAGTAATCCTCAAAAATGTTATGATGCCAATTTTAGGCCATCTGATCACTGACACCGAACCCATAAACAGTCCAGAGTACAGCACAAGATACATACCAGTATTAGTAATTGTTTTTAAATTGTATGTACACTGATATATTTACTTGTGGAGTAAAATCTGAAAATTCAGTCCATTGACACCACGTTGACTAATCCTGAACTATCAAAGCTAAGTTATAAAACATATTATAATTCTGTTTCATTTGTTTTACAGAGCAAGAAATTTCACAAGACATCTTGGGCATAGCACTGGGCGGCGCCTGTACATTCTCCGCATCGTTGGAAATCCTGCCTATTCTTCTAACAACCCACATCATTTTAATGAAGCTCTCATAAATATCAAATGATCTGAGATTTGTCTCAAGAAATATATTTTCCATATAAAATATAAACTAATAAATATGTTCACTGATAGGACGCACACACCAAAACTAAGTTGCACACTATATTCATAACATTATTATTGATGTAAGTAATTGTCTTTGAGAGACAGATAACTTTCCAGAAAGAAATAATCGGACTATAGTTGAGATGTTCAAGAGACTGATGAACTGTGTTTCACGAGAACTAATAAATCCTTTGTACGATACGGTGCCGGTGGTACCAATTGAGATGAAAGTTTCCAAAATGAATGCTGGTTTTGAAATTGTTTTGTAGCAGATTATACACAAGAGCCATTACCAATATCAGAAATATAAAATGAGTCATTGAACAAATATTCGTGATTTATTCAAATTCTGACGAATACGATCCTTTACTAACGATATTTGTCTTTATTGTTCTTCAGTCCCTATTGAAAATTGCGAAATTGAAGTGCCTATATAATGAGGAAAAGAAAAAGTTACTCAAAGACCCTTTTCACAGAACAGTTGGAAACTGAAAATATACAATGTGTTTATTAAACATGCGGCAAAGATTTAAGGCACTATTCTTTGGACTGATATTTTGTCCTTTGATAATTTTTGATGTCTCAAAGATAAGGGGCAAAAAAGAATTTCGACAATAACAGTTTTGGTAATTTCAAAATTATTAACGTATTTAGCCGAAATGAAAGTATAGCGTACTACACTGGACCTACCAAGTAATAGAAAATCTAACCATTTCTTTGGTACCTATTTACAACATTCCGATTACAGTGAAAAATGTGGAATATTTGAGAAATCAGAAACGATCCTGGTGTTTTTGAAAGAGTTCGGGAGTCAATGAGAAGAAGATTGGATTCCTGCATCCGAGAGGGGGTAGTCATTTTCAACAACTCTTGTAGTTTATGGAACATCACATGTGATTTTTGGCAACAAATTTTTATTGGTAAAATTCTTTTTCGCTCAGTATCTTCTATCGAAGCGCTCTATCAAAAATCATCCAAGGACAAAAATATCCTTAGAATAGTCCCTTAAATTTTTTCGCATGTGTCATAATCACCCTGTATATTTTCAGTTTGCGAAATTGAAATGCCTATAGAATGAGAAAAAAAAAAGATTATCAAAAGACCCTTCTCACAGGTGAGTTAGAAACTGAAAATATACAGGGTGTTTATTAAACATGCAGCAAAAATTCAAGGGACTATTCCTTGGACGATTCTAAGGATATTTTGTCCTTTGATGATTTTTGATAGGGCGCTTTGTTTCGACAATAATTTACTGCCAATAAATGTCAATCTACAAGAACTGTCGAAAATGACTACCCCCCGCTCGACACCCGAACTCTTTCAAAAACACCAGGATCGCGTCACGCCCAGCAATTATCCGATTTCTCAAATCTTTCACATCTTCCACTGTAATCTGAATGTTGTTGATAGGTACCAACGGAATTGTTAGATCACTTGGTAGGTCTAGTGTACTACGCTATACTTTTATATCGGCTATGTTAATAATTTAAAATTAACAAAATTGTTATTATCGAAATTCTTTTTCGCCCCGTATCTTCGAAACAAAGAGCAACAATGCAATTTTCATATCACTGATTATTCTTTTCTGGAAAAGTTCTATTGAGAAGAGAACTGGCTTCATGAATTCCAATGTGACATGATACACGCTTATATAGATTCACAAGGTTTATGTTTTTCCAGATACAAAAACGGATCACAATGATGCCGAAGTCTACCTAAAGGCAGTTTTTTTCGAAATTCATGAATAAATAACGAGTTACCGGTCATTACCATAATAAATTGATATCTACAATTACTTCCAAAAACATAAATGATGCTACTGAATTATCTACATCATTCTCTTATGATACAAATAAATCTGTTCGGTGATGTTTTTATCAGTAAGCTTCGACATCTGTTTAAATCTGTTTTTTCGTTAATCAGTTGTCGCCCCCATACGAACGACAACTCTCAGAAGTTGAAAAACTTACCTTTTAACATGTGATTCCTAACATGGCATCATTGAAAAAAGCTATTCGTAGAGGTAGGCACAAAAATAATCCAGCTTGTAATAATAACGATGTATTTTTTCACTTAAAAAGTATAATAATTACTATTTCGATAGCGAGAAGGCCCCGGAAAGTATTTGTGAAATCGGGGACGGTCTCTTAGAATATTGAGAGGTGATTGAAAATAAATTTTTCACTAATCTTTCACGTCTCAGAAAAATTGACAGATAGTGTACATCCACCATCTTGTTTTGATAATTACTTTTTGAGTAAAAATTAATTATGATTTGATGTGCCCCACTCACAATGGTATGAACTGGAGAGTAAAATACGAAATAATAAATTTTTTTTTATTCGAAAACTCCATATAAATCTTTCACTAACTGTCACTTCTAAAACTTTCACAGTAAAAAATTGTCGTTTTCTAAGTAAATGACAAACTAAAACTCTACAGTGGCTGATCAGCTGGGTATCCCCTTCCTAGAAAAAATCGCTTCTCTTCCTTGGAAAAATATCTATCTACGACAATTTAGGTATATGGGGTATATCGCAATAAGAATTATTGGAACTTCGTTCGTCGTTTCAAATTTTTTTTGTCATGCAAGCGATGAAAGCGTAATAAAAATTTCTACTTTCGATTGCTTTAGGATTCAGCTCTCACCAAAATTTACTGCCCGAAAATGGGTTTAAGCATCATTACATAGTGTCTGTTCGACAACCGTTACATTAAAATCCATGAAGCCTTATCTCAGTCTGTTTCTGTTGACCCAGGAAAAATTATTTCAAATGTGATAATGTTATGTATTTCATGCCTAGAATGTGCACTATTTGCCCTCATAAATGTTACGAGAAATATTTCATTATTTTGTCATTCATTCAATACTAGTTTCATCAAACACTTCACAAATGTACAACCAGTTTTTTAGCTCACTACATTGAACAAATATTATATTTACATATGTTTACTTTCACTTGGTTTCCGTTCGAAAAGGTACAAATGCATTAATTTTTTCTTCAAGACAGTTTAATGTGTTATAAATATATCTCCGTACAATTCACAAGAAAATTGCGTTTTGTCATCATATAAAAAAAAACTTCTAAAAAATAATTGAAATGATAACTCTATGATTTTTTACCATAGTCATTTAAATGATATTCAATGTCTTGTACTAATAGAATAGAGTATTTGTTCAAAATAGTACATCAAATTCAACATATTTTCATATTGTGTGACAAGAGCAATGTATTTGTACGTATTCTTAGTACATTTTTATTCATTTCTTTCTAATTGATGTTCAATTTAGGAAACATCTATACCCACAATTATGTTTTATTCAAACGACTTCTGCCCGATCTTTGTATCCATTTCTTTAAAACGTCGGAGCCATAGTTGACGCATTTATTTAAACTGGAAACTGAATTGGTTAAAACACCGTTATATGTAAAAAATATTATCGAAAATTCCTCTAATGGTCGGGAAATGTACGCTTAAACTGGTATAGGAGTCAAAATTATTTTGCAAATGGGTGATTTTTCGGTGTTTTAACACAATTTCTTTCAATATTTTCGTGAAAGGGTCCAAAATAGCCTACCGCTTCATGTGTATATTCAATTCGTTAATTGTTGTACCAAAATTGGAGAGATTCAGAATTCAAAAAATTAGAAAGAGCTGCTTTTCTCAGATATTTGAGAAAGTAGAATACTGTTGAAAATATATATTCTATTGATTTCATTTTTTTTTAATTTCAATATCAGTATGATGTGCAGTATTTTTTATATATACAGGGCTATTCAAATTAGTTTTTGTACATGGGGATCCCGTAAACGATAAGAGATACAGTGTCGGTTAAATTGTGGCAAAGTTGCGTATTTTAGAGACCTACTCAATGATGTAAGAAATCAAATATAGCTGTTTTGGATCTGGAGATATACAGGAAAACCAAAAAATCCCAAATTATTTTTTGCCTATATCTTCTTTATTCGCAGACATATTGGAAATCTGTCCACATTTGGATATTGGCACTTGATGTGGGCTATCAGAATATGTCCATGAACCTTTCATACAGGGTGTCATCTGACTTGGGCCACCCCATCTTTGAATTTTCAAATACGGACCTGTATTTTTTGTTGTAGTTTTTGGATCGTAGACG